CTGTGATCTGATAAATCATAAGCAGCATGCTATTTCTCATCTACAAGGTTTCTTCAAAAGCTATTTCTAATTGTGGACTTTCACTTCTTTTTCTTTTTTGGACAGACTTATGTTACTTTTTCTACTACCGTATTGAAAAAAAATGTGTCACCTACGGACTACATAATGACTCAACTTAAAGAGAATCAATCATGGTTCTTCCTCCTATCTCTCTTCATAGAGTGAACCTTTGGCACATAGACACATGTTTACAACTAAAGCAGTTATCCAAATATTGGATATTTGAGAAAAAATAACCTGGCATGCAGTGACCGTCGGGCAACCACATAGTGTCCGACCGTTCATTTGATCTAAAACATCAAAAACTCCTCCCCCATCACTTCTCTGCAGGATTTTGTTTTTCATCAGTCAATGTTGAAAATATTTAGTAATTCTGCACCAGCATCAGTAAGCAGTAAATATTTTAATACCATGTAAAAGTTTACTGCCACATAATTGGGCATCATGTTGCCTGCTGCTTTGTAACAGGCACCAATCGTATCAACAAATTGAGTTGAATGCTCTTTGCAGGCTCCATCTTGTACGGCAACTGTGGGAAAGTAATTCATTAGAAACAGAGAAGCACTTCTGGAATTAAGTGCCTTTGATTCCTTACGACTGGAGCATGAGCCAGGCACCACTCCAGGGTCTCCAGCTGAAACATCATTACCACATATTATTGCTACAGAATCAATCCACAAACCAGAATCACCAAAAAGGAGCGATTAGTACTTACGCTCATTTTCAACCATGTATCTCCACTGATAAGCAATTCCTTCAGCAGCTTCCTTGGAAGAGTCAGAAGTAAAAACCAACAGACGATAATTCTTTTTAACCATATCATTCACAGTGGGCCAATCATCACCTTTTCTCGGCATCTTAGAAACAGGAAACCAATACTTGTCCAACCCAGCATCAGCAAATACCCTTGTTAAACCCTTTGGGGAATGCACATAATCCTCAATTATGATGGTGACTATTTCTGTAGGATTTGCGCTCAAAAATGCCTCCACCTCTTTCAAAGTGTTAATTGCCGGTTGCTAGAAAGCACATTTTACATATTAACATCAGAATAGCTACTCAAAGGCAATCTCACATCAAAAGAAGAGAGGGATTGTATGACATTACAAAGGCAGTGAAGTTGTAACATTGGCCACGAAATGAGTGACAGAGCCATATATCGTTCTCAAAATCGTACATATCCAGCATCAATCCCCGCACTCCATTCTAAGAAGATAGATAAAATAAACAGAATTAGTATAAAAGAGCATAAGAACTCGTGTCTTTGAACAGAATGTAGAAGAGATGAAGGTTGGAAAAATCACAAATATAAGAAACCACATACTCTCAATTGGTTTGTGACAGTGTCTTCTTGATTATAGAATGTAATTCTCTGAGGGCCTGTCAATAATGGTGCATTTACCATTGAAAAGGCATTATGGGTGACCAACCACGAGTATTTGTTGAAGGGCAATCCACTGATCTGCTCATTGCCAAGTCCAAAAGGAGAAGAAAAGCATTATACATACATCATCGCTACTCAAAAAGGACAACAATAACATACCCAGTGTAATACCACAAGTGAGGTTCGAAGAGGATAGAGAGTTTGCAAACCTTACCCTAACCCAACCTCACTATGAGATAGAAAGGTTGTTTCTGATAAACCTCAGCTTAGAAAACAGAAACTGCAGAGTAGAGTAAAGAAAGTTAGAAAGAAACTTACAATGGAAGTAGGTTCTATAGCTTGTCCTCTGATGCAAAAGGGCTGACTCTTTCCCAATTCAGGGCAATCACCACAGTATAAAGAAGGCCCACAATCCGTAGCCGAAGCACATGAATCAAGAAGCTGTAATATTCATGAAATTTCAGCTGAAACCCACAAATGAAAATTGAAAATTGCACGGATCTGCAAATGGGGTTCAAGAATTCATACAAGAATTGCGTATAGAGACCGCAAATATTCAAGAAAATGAGTTTTTTTTCCCAAATAAATCTTTGTTGCATAATGTATATATCAAGAAATCAATAAAGAGAGAGGAACCTGGCAATTCCCATTAGAACAAGCAGTTGAGCGAGTGATGAGTAAGCAGTGAAGAGCCAAGTGACACAGTACCAAAATGAAGTAACCATTAGCGCCTCCTCCTCCTGTGCTGTGTCTTCTCCACATACTGTGCTTCTCCGAGAAACACGGCAGCATGGGATAGTAAATGAAAAACACTAGTCTTTTGATAAATCAAATATTGTCGCATGTATAAAAGGAAAAGAGCAAAAGGCAAAAAGTCAAGAAATAGAAATAGTGAGATTTATGAGAGAGGACAAAGAAGATGCCAATTTTTGTGCATCTCTATCACTGTCTGCCAACTGCTAAACCAACTTTATTACTCCCTATATTGGTGGTTACTTGAGGCGAGCCCAATTAGCAATCTCCAAGTTTAAAAATGACAAAATCTATAAATAACTAGTTTTTTCTATTTATTTTTCAAATGTATGATATTAGCAAACGGACAGAAAATATGCATCCTATAGCAACTAAAATTATACTCTAGTTATAAAATACAATAACTATTCAATCTTATTATATTTATTATTTCTGAAATTTTCTCATATTAAAATAACTTTTTATCCACGACTTACTTCTAAAATTTTCTCATATTAAAATTACTAACATTGTCATAAAAAGAACAGAATCTTGACTACCACCAACTTTTTATTTTTCACTCTGTTGTTATCTTTTAAATTTTATCTGCATGGTGATTTTGAGTAGAGCCGTCAATATGGGCTAGGTCTGTTGGGTTGGTTTGGTCTAATTCAGAATTTAATAGGGTTGGACTACGATTTTTGAAGCCTATTTGAGAAAAGGGATTTTTAGCCCGACCTGAACAAGCTTGCTGATTTGTGGAGCTTAATAAATATCGATACGGCTGGCCTATGGATCAATAAAAATTAATTAAAAAATATAATATAATATTAAAACTTAAAATTAAATAGAGTCCGAACTAAAACAATTAGGTTAATATTTCTATTTAAATATTTATACTTTTACTTGAAAAAACTTAATAAATATTATAAAGATAATTTTATTTGTAGATTTGATTAAAAGTAGTAACATTAACATCATGTAATATTATTTGTCGATATTTATGATAATATTTTTAAATTATAATTTAATCTAATAATTCTAAAAATAATATATTTTTAGAAAAAGTGGGCTGGCCCGGCAAAACTGTAGCCCACGTACTTGTGAGTTGGTCCGATTATTTTTTGGCTCACACCAAAAATAAGCTAACCCAACCTGACCCATAAAATATTGAAGCCTATATAAATTAGCTCGAAAAAATGGACTAGCTCATATTGACAACTCTATTTTTAAATGGGAAAATGTCATAATTTTAATTAGTACTCCATTTTTGACACCCTAATTGAAGTCTGCACTTCAATCGGGCTAGTGTTGCCTAATATTATTGGCTTACTTTTATAGGAGTAAGTTCTAGTGGGGTTTCCTTTTCACGTGGTGGTGGGACACACTTCAAATTAATGGGACTTAATAAAAGGAGGAGCAATTATTTCTCTTTAATGTTTCAAATGGGAACGGCGCCCATTTTCTGTACAACTTTCAGTTAGGTAAACCTATAAATAAGGGTGCCATAAAATTATGAAAAATAAAATAAAATTATGGCTTGCCCTATTTTTATACAACACCTGGATTGACTCGAATAATTTCGTCTAAATATTTTTAAATAATATATTTTTATGGTACATAGTTTTTTATAATCATAATATAAGAAAAAATATTTTATTAAGTACTCAAATAAATTAAAAAAAGAATAAAATTTAATAAAAATTGAATAGATTGAGTTAGTTTTTTATAATCATAATATAAGAAAAAATATTTTATTAAGTACTCAAATAAATTAAAAAAAGAATAAAATTTAATAAAAATTGAATAGATTGCACATAACTTTGAGAGGATATTAACCCACTCATTTATCAACTCAATCTCTTTTAACATTTTCAAATTTAGCTCGGACTATTCAATTTGAAAATAATCCTATATATAATGTTCAAAACTCTCGATTGCGTACACGAAATTCAACATGACGCTTCAAACACAGAAAAACACAGAAGTTGTTAGGCCACTGGTGAGACATGAGACCAGCATCGACTTCAACAAGCCACAAGGTTTACATGAGTTTGATTAATTAAGAATAATCCACTGCTTCATCTACACGAACTATATCATATTATCAGTAACTGCAGGAAAAAATAAGGTATAAATGTAATTAGCAAACCATGGCTTGATAATAGAACTTAAAAAGTGCACAAACGTAATATATTTATAATTTGGTATATCGAGGGTGTTGTAAATAATGTGGTGTAGATGTCATGTATCAAATTCACACTTCATGACTTTAAAAGACTTTAAGTATGACTTTAGGAGCTTTAATTATGATTTAAAGATCTCTTTCATGACTTTGAAAGATTAAACATATACTTGTTTTCTATATATAGTCATCTTATATGTAGACACAAATGCACTAAAATACTGAAAGAAAAATATTATCACTCTTTCTCTCTATTCCTTTGTTATTAAATTTTTAATACTTTATTTTATAACAAAGTGCAATTTTTTTTAAAAAGATATCATTGCCGTCATCTATCACATGACAGTAAGAAACATGTTCTTGCAGCACATATTATCAGCGAGAAATTCATGCCTTAGCCTTTATTTGCGATAAGTTATGATTCCCACTCAAATTTAGGTAACTAATTAAGAGCTTAGTTATGAAAATAACACGTTTTCTATTTTATTTGAAATTTTTTAAGTTGAAATTGGAGTTGTGTGTCCTGATATTTCGTTAAAAAAACTATTTTAAATATACTTTTTTTCTCGTCAAACATGCATTTCCCTCGAAGACAAAAAAAAACCCTGTTGATACCCGGTGTATTGTTCGACAGTGCTATTAACAAAGACAACAACTATATCACGTTCATACTCTGAAAATTTTTCACCACTGCTTTTATGTTCCCGCCAATAAATTATGTAACAAAAGGAGCAATTACAATCTTATTTGTGTGTCTACATCATGACTGTTCATGCCTTATTGTAATTTTCTAAATTACTTGTCCATGACCCATATGTTTTTCAATCATATTGCACAAAAATGAATGCCTATGGTATAATTATAGGCATTCATTTTTGTGCAATGTGATTGAAAAACATTAGGATTCATACCTTCCCAACCAGCTGCAATAAACATAAACCGCATGTTAAAATCACATGCACGAGTTATAATCCTTTGTGGTGGTTAAGACGCGCCTGCTACTTCTTTCTTTGGAGCTCCCCTTTATGTATGTCTCATCAACTGCACCAACACAATTATATCAAACACGAACATAGAACTGTTGAAGCTAGACAAACGGATGGATATAATCAGCTTTTCAATCAGTCAACAGTATAAAAAAGCTAATAGAAAATATTGCTCTCCATTTATAATCTTACAACATTGAAAATTAAAGACTTCTCAAGTATTAACAGTAAATGTTGAATTGACAGCTTAAGATTTTACCTTAAAGTAAAGCCAAAAACAACTACTATGTCAAATCTTTAGATTTATACCAGACATAGGTGCCAATTGACTAAATGCTTTAGCAACTTTTCTAACGTGTCAATTAATTGTCTCAAACATTAACTTACCAGCGATGAGTTGTTTTGGTTTATCATGTGGAACATGCATCTGAAACTATAGTGTAAGACAAAAGCAGCTATTATCCGCCGATGAAATGTTTCAAGTTAGAAACCTGTAGGTTCATATATACGCGTGATATCATCCCCAAAGAAGATAACAACCCAAGCCATACCAATCCTGGATGTATGTTGCTGTGTGCAAGATAACGACATACGTTCTTGGCAATCTATTCACATTGATCAGACACTACAACGTGTACGATGTAATCCTCAATGTCGTGTCTTACTCGGTGCCACTACGACATCCTCAATGTCGTGTCTTACTCGGTGCCACTACTGGATAGGCTAAAAATTTTCCATGGACACATAAGCAACCTGCGAAAATTTAAAAAACTACAATGTCAATACTAGTAGTACTGGACCAGATTACCTAACAAGAAGCACAAATAATGAAACATGACTAAAAGAAATATCATGATACAAAAGAAGATATTACTGAGGTTCCTACACCAAGTAAATTTTCCATAGAGAATTGTACGCATAGATAATCATTACACACGTATAAAGTTGGCATTTCTTCGTAATAGAGTACAACATAACCAATTAGAACCACTATTTTCTCAAATTTGTCCGAGGTCCTCAACCCACTAAATTTATCATTTTCTGGCCATATGGACAAACATCATGCAAATTGATTATCATCAATACAAAAAAATTTCATGATATATTGCAATTGGGTAAATGACGACTTGCTCAAAGTAGATATCCATGTCAAAAAATTATTTTGCTTCCACCTTGTCTTTCTTCCACTTCAAATGTTCCCTAAAAGATTCATGTATGCTGTCAATAGCTGTAGCATGACCTTTTTTCGACATGTAGATGAGCCATCATCAATTGCCATAGATTGATCAGTCATTGTCCACTTCCCTGTCCCAGTACCACTACTTACGACATGCGTATGCCAAATACCATCAGAGTAGTCATCACAAGATACAGGTTCTTTACCAACTCCAGTTGCTTCATTTGATTGGGCTGTGAAAACAAGCAGTGGCGAATGATTTTCAAAATGTCATTGTTGAATCCCCTCATGCCCCTACATGGTAATGTTTATGTTTTTTTCTCTTTTTCCGTAAAATATTGAAAACAAAATGTTAGCTCAATAATAGAACATACATACTTTCACACCTCTAGATAACTTACAAACACATGATCCACCCAAATCTCAGATGGACAAGTACCTCAGTTATTACAGGATCCCAACCATATCCATAGCAACCTTGAAGGATGTCCTCAATTTTTTTATTTTTTTTGCTTCTATCCTTGATCTATTGCACTTGAACTTAATTTGGTGTTTGTCATAAGTTTCTTACTTGCCAGAATTCATCCAAAACTCATCTATAACTTCCCTCCAACGTGGACCATTAAGGGAAGAACCATTAAATACATACTTCCTCGCATCATCATGTAAGATATGGATTAGAGTCATTGTCTTGTCCTGTCCATTCATGTGGTTATCTCACAACAACAATAAAAGTCCCTAAAAAGAATGGATCACGTGATCAATCAGGTGGTCGATGTTGGAAAAAGGAATGAGCCAATAAAAAAGCAAGGCCCTTGAAGTAACAGTAAACTCTTTCTTAGAAACAGATGATAATGATAATCATAGAAGAGCTCCTCATCTATCCCAGGCAGTCATTGCATCTGGCTGATAATGATAATTATAGAGGAGTTCCTCTCCTGCACAAATTCTTTCTTTGGCAAATATACCAACTCTACGACATCAGCCGCCATAGTAACCTGTCAAAGAGGAGTGTTATTGGATCTAACATAGACAAACCAATCCAGGGAATGCCTACAAAAATTTCAGCAACTTGGATCAGGGGACTGGTTTGCGATCTTCAACTTCTCACTCTTCCACCAATAAGCATCATTGTACAAACTACATGTACACAAGACAAGTGATTTACGTAAGACTACAGTTGAGGCCCTACCCTATGGAGTAACTTAACAAGGTATGAAGGGCAAGTTGCTTCTCATGCCTGATACTTTAAATTGAAGAGAAATGAAGGACTTTCATGATCCATAAATTATTCCAGGCTTATCAGCTTCATGGTGTGACATTATTTCACCAGTATGCTCCCCAAGGTTCTCATGCTTTCCATCACCATTCTGTTAGTAATACTAAACATGAGCTCAAAAATAACAAGGATATAAAGACAGAGAAAGAAAAAGCTTAACACTGTTCCAAGAGATTACCTACAAGAAATCACCCCAGCCAGACACATCAGATCTTCCAAGAAGAACCTGCAAATTAATGCAAGGAATTACAATTAGCCTAAAGCTGGAACTATCCAACCTTCATTTCTACCCTAGACACTACAAGAAAGTAGGCGACGACATTTAACTATTGACATGTATATTAAATATCATGATATTAATGACATTTGATTAAAAATATCTAAGTTATAGGGATTTTTAATGCAAATGTCACAATATAAGTCGGCATTTAGTAACATCTACAAACAAATAGAGGAAATTTTCTTACATTTATAACTTCAAAGTTTTACTAATGGAAAGTAAAAAATATCAGACCCGTCTACAGTTCTCATAGAAAAAGGAAAAGAGAGTACTCTAGCATTCTTCTCTCAAAAACACAAAAACCCTAGCACCTCAACCCTCAGTGGCAGTGATGTCAACTGGACTGTTTTCGCCGGTGATTGTTTTCTTTGGAATCTCTTAAAAGAGAAGTGTTTTATCTTGCTGCCAATAGATTCGACTTTATCATAATATAGTTTTTGTTGATTGGAATCTAAAGCAAGTTTACAGGGAACTTCCTTTTGGACTTACTTCATATCCCTTTCCAGCACACCGATCAATTTCTCGAAGTTCAGAGTCGCGCTCCATTAGCAGATACGTGGATCTTACCAGGTCATAGAGAATCTATAAGTGAGATAGACAACAGTTGATAATCCTCAAATGTTCTGATTAAAGAGTACTACATTTGTGGGTAAGTGCTTACCTCTATTTAGTTCTGTTTTGTTCACTCGTCTAAATTTCTAATTGAAATGCGGTTGAAATGGTTGTGTTTTTTACTTTTACGATGATGCCTCTTGAAGATCATCAGTTGAATAACATTATTATCCCTCATTCAAAGACTCCTCCTATACTATCTTTTAACATGTACTAAATATTTATGTATGGCCTTCTGAGATTTTTTGTCTCACTTTATAGAAGTGTATAATGTTGAGTTGGCACTTCAATATATTTCACCTCTAATCTGGTTTTTATTGTTCTTTGTAAAACATTATCAATTTGGTCAAATCCGATATTTCGTTAATGATCATCACTTTTAAAATTTGATCTACTTGCTCAGAAGGCATTTGCAACAGATAGGTAAGTAGAATGATCAATTTGAAATAGATTAGATGCTTTCATATTTCTGGACTACTTTTTGAGGGCATATTTGAGCTTAGTTCTTGCTTTTCCATTATCTTTGTTTAGGGAGGGGATTACTCGTCTTCTCATGCATGATCTTTACGTTTCTTTCAATATTAAAATACTTTTTATTTTTACCCTTCCATAGGAAATCCCTATAATAAGTTTAATACTCATCATATTCAAGAATTTTGGAACACACATGTCTATAACAAAAAGCAACACACTTGGGGGTAAGTTTGGTAGGGTGTATGCAGTATGTATTGGTAATGTTGGTATTAGTTATGCTTGCATTAATTATGATGAGGCTATTTTTTATGTGGTGTTGTTATACCCTCCACAAATACTGTGGAAAAGGTTTAGAGGGGCAATTGTATCTTCAAAAGTGCTAATGCATGCATGAAACCTCTTGCATTGCTAATACCATGATTTTTCATGTATCAATTATATATAACATAACAACAAATATGAGTGTATACCAAACAAGGTATCAGTTCTGATGCATCCTACCAAACAAACCATAGGAACAAAATGCAATTCATATGTTGGCACTTTTAATGAAATTAAATAAGTTTAACATTCATCATTTTCAAGAAGTAATATTTGTTCAATTTTTATAGAATATATTCTTAATATTATTTATGTAACTATTAATGAAATTATACTCATTACTTCCTTCAAAGTAAATTTAATTCTATAAAATATATTATACATGCAAGTAATATGAATAAACAAGAACACAAAATAGTCATTACTCTTACAATCTTTTGAATGAAAGAACATTAACTTGATGAGGCTTGGAGTTCCAAAGAGAACATAAGCATGGTTGCAGAAGAAGGTATAGCCAACAAATTCTCCAACTTTCCTTAGGTATCCTACAATTTCCCTCCTTTTATTTTCCAAAATCTGATTTTGAAAGAAGTTGTCATTATTCCTTCAAAGCATCAGGTTGTTGCAACAGGATTGTTGGGTACTCAACCTACCTAAGTTTAGATTTAAAGTTTCTGGAAGACTACATGTTTAGATCTACTCAAGAATTATTAGAGGCCAAGTTCAGTTTAGTTTTCAGAGGTGATGATAAGTAAGCTCTTGAATTTTTGGTTCTTTTTTTTTTTAAATGATGGTAACATATATTCAACTGCATTAACAGTGTGCTGGCCATGGTAAAGCAAAAGTAGAAAGCCTATGTACATTTCACAAGGCTTCTAGAAAGTCTAGTATGGAGTTGGCCTCCTCTATACAAAATCCTTATGACAAAAAATGCAATTCTTCTCAACTTACTGGATAGAATTGCTCTTATCTTAAAAACGTCTATTATTACTTACCATCCAAATGGTTAACCAAATACAAGAAGGAATAGCTATCCACCATATCTTTTGCCTAAAATTGCTCCCTGCTTGGTCCCAAGGAATCAGAAGCTCAAAATTGTTCCCAGGCATCACCCATTTAAGGTTTCTAGAATGAGAAAAAGCTGCAAAAATTGTGAGGTATAACCACGGTGGATGAAGAGATGGCTGTTGTTCTCATTGGTGGCTTTGCATAAGAAGCATCTAGAGCTCATCTCTGAAGTTTCTCACGAATGAGACAAGCCTTTATAGCTACTAGCCAAGAAAAACAGTTGACTTTCGAAGGAACTTTGGCCCTCTAAATCTGCTTCCAGGGCCAATGTGTCTCATGTTGGCCTTCATTTCCAAAATAAGCATATTTTCCCCCAACAGTGTATATCTTCTTACCCCTGCCCTACCGAATCATGGAGTCTTCAACTTCAGAGATATCCCTCCTCCTTTCTATAGTTTGCAGAAATATTATTTACCTCCATTTCCCAGTCATTGGATCCTCCTCTGAGAGTGATGATACAACCATTTAGATCCTAACTTCAGTGATAGTAGCCTCTGGACTAGAGGTAATACTGTAAATATCATGAAAGCTTTTCTTTAAGGTTCTTGTTCAATCCAGAGGTCAAACCAGAAGGCAGTTCTCCTACCATTTCCAAAAGAGATCTCAAAATTTCTTGAGAAGTCTTCCCAGTGAGCTTCTGATGGACTTCCAGATGCTTACTCCATAAGGTGTGGTGACTGTTTAGATTTAAGTGCACCAATTGCACACTACTATCAGTGCATTTAGGTTCTAAATGAACGTATTTATTTCCTAGAGAAGAAGTACAAAGGTTGGTTTCACTATATTTCTGATTCCCTAGTTATGGTATTAAATAATAAAGCTAATAACAACCAATCAAATAAAAAGAGGTGCAGATATTTAGTTGTTCACATATGATATTCATGTTCTTTTTATGATACAATGCACTAGAAGCATCTATGATCGATTTGATTCACAGACTAATTTCAGTTGAGAAAATTCTTAAAAGTTTTGATATGTTGTATCTTTCAACATTTCAAACTTGACGAAGAAAGAACTTGAGAGGAAAAAAGTGTGAATGAAACGAAGGAGGAAAAACAAATATAGAAGGCAAGAAATAGGTGGACCATAATCAATCTGAAATGGAAAATTCATTAATATAACTTCTTTTCTTGTGCTACAAAATAACAGAAGTCAACAAATTACATACAGCAGTATTTAAAAGTTTTTTTTAATCTATTGTTTAATTGTTCACCCTACTTGAGAACTTAGCATGATACTTTTACTATAACAATAATATGTATTTACTCTGGTCGAGAACAATAATAATTATTTACAACAATATTTGCCACAAATTATAGTAACTTGTAATATGTAACTTCAATTAGTAAAGAATATTGGAGTAGTTTGTCACCCTCAGAATCTGTAATTGGTCTCTAAATAGATAAAATAATTTTCTCAAGATCTTATTAACCAAGTTTCTGTAAGAAATCAAAAAAGGAAATAAAACAAACAATAAATGAATATTGGAAGGTTGAGATAAGAGGCTCAAAAAGTCAAAATGAAAATTGAACCATATGATATGTGAATGAACATTTTTGTGCCAATTTCCATTCACATTAGACAAATGCAGTGTTAAACAGTTAAAGAATGACAAAACTCTCATATCAGTGGTTAATGAGATGGTTGGACTCCTTATAAGGCTTTGAAAATCCTCCTCCATTAGAACTAGCTTTTAGGGTGTGACTTACGCCTAACACCTTATTCAACACAATATCAGACCAGGGCTCGTCTCACTCGATGTTGGGCCCCCCAAAAATCAAAATTGCCCACGCACCAGATGCTATGCACTGGGCGTGAGGTGGTGCGTTAAAGAATGACAAAAGTCTCACAGCAGTGGTTAATGAGATAGATGGACTCCTTATAAGGCTTGGGCAATCCTCCTCCATTTGAGCTAGCATTTGGGGTGTGAGTTAGGCCTAAGACCTAATTTTACATGCAGTATCTACTTCAATGAATACTTTTTTCCATGTGGTTGATAATATTTTGAGCCCTTGATTTTCCAATTATTAGGCCATCCTTAATTATGATTGGAATACCGAATATCGAAGATCAAATTCTAAAATTGAATTAGTGTATTAAGTCATTTTTTCCATTTATTATGATTATTCCATTTTACACATCATGCCAAGACACGCAAATCCACAAGTTAAATTTGATGGTTCAGTTTTTAAAATATTTTAGCATTAATTCATCAAATCTTTAAAATTATGGGTTAAGATCTAATATTTCTTTAAATTTTGGAGATTCCATTCCGTAACGAAGATATTAAATACCGATGAGCTTATTATGGAAAGGCAAAATATACAACACCGAGTTGCTTGCTCATAAAACTTATAGGTAGGAAATAGAAATAACCAAAAAAAATTAGAAAGAAAAACATTTAAGCATCCAACACCGTTTAATATAAAGTTGCTTGATTAAAAAAAATCAAATTTATTATTCTCATTCAACCACTCTTGTTTTCTTTTTATGTGGATATTGTAAAAATATGACACATGAGCCTAACTTAACCTCAAAAGTTAACTCATGAAGGGAGGATTGCTCAAGTGCATATAAGTCGTTCATGATACCATTCCCCAACCAATGTGGGATGTAGCCACACTAACACTCCTTTCACTAGATTCAACTAGGGCATGGACTGAGAGTCTAAATGGGGATGAATCTGACACTAATACTATATACTTATAGTACATGGATATAAGTCAACCCCAAAAGCTAGCTCATGAGCTGAAGATTGTTCAAGTTCATATAAGTACCATTGTGGGATCTAGCACACTAACATGTACAAAGTAGGTTATATATGTTAGAATATCATAAATCAAAAGTAATGCAATTACATCTTTAAATTACTGGGTCAATATCCCATGATCATATTCAATGTTTATAAGATTTAGGTTATTTGTGAGCCTCTTTAACGGAAAATACATACTTGAGTGCTTCTATATATATATATATATTTGTGGTGTCCATGCTAGTTTCTGCGCACCTTGACTAATTCCATAAGATTATGCCACCTCTACCAACAACAAGTACCACGTAACTCTATCAGTCAAGGTTAGGACGAATGAGAAGAAATCACCTAATTTTTTTGTTTCCAACCTCATTGACCAATATTGGTTGCCTCTGTTGTATAACAAAAGGGATGATTTTAAACAGTACTTCTAATAATATTCGCTAAATGAAAATGTTTGTGTAACTACGAGGATTAATGTTAACTTTTAATTTCTTCCTAATTAACTTGCTTACTGCGACATCCGTCACTTCCAATCACATATAAGAGGCTATCAATTTAACTAACACAATTAAATTGGAGAGGAACCACAGAAGTAGGTGCAGCATGAGTAGAAGAAGAATGTCTCTTGTTCCAAAATTAGTTAGATTCTTTGTTTTTTGATAACCGAGCAATCTGCCTGTGACCTGCCCTTTGGATCAATCACAGCCTTCTAAAGTTGGTGGATAATGGGTCCGCCCTTCCACCCTTCACCACTTAAAACACTGGCTTCGCTTAGCATGATGTGGGGCTTGAACCTGTGACCAAGCCACAAAGCATCCACCTTTTGCCACTCGAGCTAGGCCTTGGGGGCAAAATTAGTTAAATTTTCCTAAAAAGTACTCCTACTGTTTCATATGTAATCCCCGTTTATGTATAATGTGGTTAATGAAACTTGTAGGCATATTATTTTAATTTAGATGGTTGTGATTTCATGTGAAGTTAAAAGAAACCAGTGACATTGTTTTATTGCCGAGATTTCAAACTTATTGTTGGAACTAGTTGAAGAGAACTTCTGTTTTTCAACATAATCCATGTTTATGTGATCTACTGTTGACGAATTTGTAGGTATAATGGTTATTATTTGAATTTAGATGCTTATGATTTAATTTAAAGTTAAAAGTAACCATTGCTGATATTTGTAGGATGTATTTAAAATATTTGCACTAGTGTCAATATAATTCAAATAAATTCCAAACACTTTTTAAGTTGTCGCAAACAATAAGCTAAAAATATGTAATGCTGAAATTTGATAAATGTCATAAAGAAATGTCATTATATGTTTGGCGACATTAGCCTATATATTGGAATTTTAATTGTCACATTTCACGATTTTTTTAAAAATTTTTAGAAAGGTGAAGTTGAAATGTCGTAAATATTTTGCCGACATTTACTTAGATGTCGGAAAATTTCCGACATTGAAATTTGAGACATTTATGCCAAATGTAAAACAAATGCCTTATGTAACTTAATACGACATTTGTTGCAAGCTTACTTTCTTGTAGTGGGTGCCTCGGGCTTCCTTGCCCAGACATGTGGTGTATCTGGCGCATAACAATAATCATAGAAGAGTTCCTCTCCTGCACAAATTCTTTGTTTGGCAAATATACCAACTTTGTGATCTCCACCCGCCATAATAACCTGTCACGGAGTAAATTGAGCATTACTGAATCTACCATAGGCAAATCAATCTAGAGAGTGCCTACGCAAATTTCAGCAATTACCTTGGGGTAGCAATTTGGATCAGGAGAATGGTTTGCGAACTTCAACTTGTCACCTTTCCGATAAGCATCAAGCACACACTACATGCACACAAAACAAGTGATTTGAATTAGACCATAGTTGAGGCCCTGCCCTAAGGACTAACTTAACAAGGTATGAACGACAAGTCGCTTCTCATGCCTGGTCATCCAAATTGAAGAGAAATGAAGAATTTATAAGATCATAAATCTTTCCACGCCTATCAGCTTCATGGTGTGAGATTATTTCACCGGTATACTCCCCAAGGTACTCGTGCTTTCCAACACTATTCTGTGAGTAATTATAAACATAAGCCTAAAAATAAAAACAAGGATGTGCAAATAGAGAGAGAAAGAGCATAAATGTTCTAATACCTTCAAGAAAGCACCCCATCCAGACACATCAGACCGTCCAAGAAGAACCTGCAAAAATTAATGTAAGGGACAACAAAAAGCTCAGAACTGGAACTTGAAAACATCCATTCTTACACTAGAGCAGCTCTAACGTCTAAAGATAATACATGAACAGGAACGGCGAGGAAGAAAAGAGAGCAACACAGTTTTAAAAGCCTCACAAGACCTACAGTGAGATGATACATTATTAAAAGTTAACATTTATTCAACGTTTGTCCATTACAATGTCTAACATGAACCGAAGGTTGAACTAAAAAGACTGGTTCATACCCGAACTTAAAATACGATAATGCCAAACTCAAACTTTATCCGTCTAATTGAACTTCGAGAACAGAGGGAGGAACAAATAATAATCATTTGTCTTAGTGGCAACCACTAACTCGGAATAATAATAACAAACTACCCTTCACAAATAAATAGTGATAATTACCCTTTGACGTTGTTTGAGAAGAAGCTTCATGTTCTCGCAGTCATTACTGTCACTTCTTTGTGGAGGAATATCGAGAGTCCCATCACCACAGCTGCAAAAGCCAAATAACATAGAAATGGAAGCTTTATAACTGAAAGTGAAAGGATACTAAAATAAATATATTAGGTGTTCTTTGATTCATTTACTAGTTATGTGGGTTTTATAACATAACGATTGTTCATATGTAGCAACTAAACATGAAGGGCTCTCAAAAGTTGGTTAATAATGGAGAAATTGTTATACAAGAATTGCTTACTTGAAAAAGCACATTTTTGTCCTTAAAAGCTTAATCCCATTGCTTATACATGCATTTTTATTCCATATTATGTCGAGTGTATATAATAAAAATAGATTTGTGCATAATTTAGTATGTGTATTATTTAAAACTACCATCCAACTGTAGCATTAGTGATGAGATTGTTTTTCTTATGCAGCCAACCTCACACACTTGTTCTTTTATATAAGATTCTATGTCACGATTAACTACTCCAATACTACAACAAAAAGACCTTTTAACTCTTGATGAAACATAAATTGATGTCAACAATCACTTAAGCTTGAAAAGCTTGCTCGTCAGTTGTCACTCGCTCAGCAATAAATAATTATCAGCCATCAAATAAATCAATAAGGTTGGTCATAATTTATTTAATTTGCAACATAATTTATGCTTTTTATTCTACAAGTAGACAGAATATATTTGGAAAATCTTCAATGATTTGAGGGAAATCAGATGGGTGATGTCAATGCCAGGAAACACAAAGGTGTTAAGGAGGCACTAAGCAGTTGGGATGAAAAGGAATTTTATCCAACCAGAATGAGAGATGGAGTATTGTCCCAACATGTATTATTGTAGGATATAGAAACCAGAGGTGTTTTGAGGATAGCAATGCAATATCTAGAAGTTGAAGATGAATTGCTTAAGTATTTTTGGTGTTAGCAGGAATGTTTAGTAGAACTAAAGATATTTTTGATGTTTCAGACTACATGTAAGAAACGAACAAAGATGGCAAGTTTCCTCTATTTTATAACTGTCTGTTTGGAAGACTATATGGTTGGTATAGTATACTTGTTAATACATAGAATGTTACCATTATATTAAAAACATAAAACAACCATTACTAATGTAATCTCGGAAAAATTTTATATAAACTTCTGGATAACTAATGTGGCATTTGATTTTCCGTAATAAACTCTACAACAATCTATGCACTATTGTATTATTTCAGCCTGGGAGGAATAGTCTAAGTTAGGGCCAGTATGGTCGGTGGGGATTCATACTGACAATCTCAAGTTGGTAGAATTTGAGGCGTAGTAGTCTAGGTCTTAGAATAAGACTACGCATATTAAGAATACATCAATAAGAGTACATATCAACAAAATTACCTTTAAAGTAGATATTGTATAAAGACCCCTTTATTATTATTCTCATCTAACAAGCTCACACTACCATCCACAGAATAGCAGTCCTTTCATAATTATGCACCGCGTATAAAACCCTTCTTAATTATTCAATGCATAATAATTTATACATTATAGGCCTTGCACAACTAGTCCACGAACCAAACAAACCCTTATGTGTGTTAGCTTGGAACAAGCAAATTAAAAATCATAGTTTAGACTGTCGATAAAGAAGAGTGAGAGCATGGAGGGGCGATACAAGATCTCAAAAACGCAAGATGAATGGAAATTAGCAACCACTAGAAATAAGAAGGTACACCAAAAATGAGCAATCTGAAGAACGGATGGTCATAGGCACTAGAAATACTTCCAGCTTGACACTGCAAACTTAAATCACCAACTAGATAAAAACAGACAATAAATCCATAGCACTACCGGGAGCTCACCTGATCCAACAATTTCGGCAAACATCAGGATCGCATTCCCTGTCAACAGCAAAGCAAGGGCATTGTCTGCTTCTACACTGACCTTTTACGCAAAAACAACCACGAAAGTGATTCTTGCAATTCTTGAAACTTTTGCATCTAGAATATAAGAATGACAAAGCGTAGAAGCAGAACTAATTAATATAGGCACAAAACTGTGGTTAAAGAGATGCTTAAGAGACCGAAAAGAAAAAGAAAAAGACGGGCAAACCCCAGAAAACAATAAAAATGGTTTAGCACTGTGGATTTCATAAGAATAATTTACAGCCAGGTCCCACATTATTATCGCACTGGAGTTTTTCGAGAAGAATGCTGTCTTACCCGCAATATTTTTCACAGAGGGTCCCATTAACGATACAAGGACACTCTTTTCCACAAGGTACTTGACAATTACATGGATTATAGTGACGGCGAAGCTTGTCTTTCCTCTCAGATATTCTTTTCCTAAGTGCATTATATCCAGCTGATTTCCCTGTGTATTTTAAGCGACGAACTCTACCTCTTCTATGTAAGAATCTAGATTTTCTCTGTGGTTGATTACCCTGAAATTGAATTCAAAACAGGATCAACTAAAGTGGGGGTAATAATAATATTACTACGGTTCAACAAGAACACAAAGCAACATGCTGATGAACAAAGTCAATATACTAACCACGATTGTATGGCCATCACCCTTAAAAGAGCCTTGAAATATTCCATTCATCCCATCACTTACTAGTGATAGCTTATTCTCGAAATTGTTCATATACTGGAACACCTCCCAACAAGTTTTTAAACCATTCAGCAGATTTCGAGCAATCATACAGCTGTATGACAGAATAAGTGTCAGGTCAATTTTCCCAGCTGTGGTCTAGCATTTTCATTCGTCTAGGAGAGCATTGACAAGTAAAGAGGAACTGAATGCACACACAATCATCAAACATGAAAAGTCCGATTACCATTTCTAACTTAGTTTGGAGGAATTTCATGAGGAAAATTTTGCAAGTTCTAGTTTGCCTATTGAGAACTAGCATGAATTTGATTAAAAAGCTAGCACAACAATTTCTTATTAGACAAAAGTAAGCCAGTATTTGAGTGAATGATTTATGAAGATATTAAAGAAGATATAGTGTTGACAAACAAGGTATACAGCGTCAAAGAACTGAGAAGAACAGGAGTAGAATTAGTTGCAAGAGTAATTTGAAGTTAACTGACCTGCTGCGGCCAAACATTTCCAGACCTTTTTCAAATAGAGCCTTTTCAAGTGGTCTCCATGATTTCTCACCATCTATTTCTTGATTGCAGTTATTCTCATCCCCAAACTCATTCTCCCTCAATGTGTCGTCATAATTCATCCCATTTTTTGCACAGGCAGCCTCTTTATACTGGCAACCAAAACCCTCACCTTGGAAATAATTTTTACTGCCCAATACTGGAGAGACTTCCCTCCTAGAAGTTCTACCACACTGAGGTTGTTGTGATTCTAGCGAACATGAACCAATATCTTTGAAATCGCTTTCGCAAGAATTTGATGTCCTTGATAGATGCTCCCTACCAGGCACCTCAGTATTATTAGCAATTTCAGATGGTTGGACATGGTTTTCTCCATGATTAGCAATCTGAGAGGGGGTCAATCCAGCTTTGTGTTCCTTCTTGATGGCCAGAAATGAGTAAAACAGCTCAGAAGGTTAGTAGGTATTGTTGCCACAGTAGGAGTAAAGCACAAGTACACACCATTACTAAGAAATGATAGTTGTTTATTAAGTAAAAGATTCAGCTCAGGGCCAAATTGATGTCAACAGAAATTACATAAAAGAAGGGGACCAAGATACCAGGCGATAGCAATTTGAACAACAGGGCTCCTTATCCACGTCGGGAGAGCACCATGGCAATTGTTTTTCAGCCTTATGAATGTAAGGAGTAAAACTCACTATAAGAATCCATTTCGAAGTACAGAGTTCTGAGATACTAAAACATTGGTTAAATAGCCATTCCGTACCGGAAAAATCAGATCCTGCGAACATCCATGTGATTGACAATCAAAAACCTGCAAGTGAGGACAAAACGAGAAAAAAGAAAGAAGTATATTCAGAAGGAAAAGTATGAAGCAGAAAACAAGCCAAGAGTTAAAACAACAAATATATACATACAAGACATCGACGACAAAATAGGGTGTCAAAAGAATCAAGAGCAGCATCAAGATCGTTGTCAAGAAACAAATCTGGAGTCCCTTGGATGTTCTCGTTCTTTGAGGCACATTCATATTTGTCCTTAACAAGATCTTCATATCTTTCCTGTATAAAATAGACACTGGGTTGTGATTTATCTTTGTAACAAAGCCAGAAAAACCAAATGGGAAACAGCTGGACAAGAGTTCGCATCGAGAGCAATTTTGTTCGATAATGAGAACTTAATTATAGAGTGTAGTTTCTTTTTGTTTTTTATAAAAGAATAACAAGGAGTAGTTATTCTCTAAACGAAATGTTTACCTTGACTTCACTGGGTTTTCTAGACAAGAACTGCCCTAGCAATTCTAACACTGTATCAGACAGGCCAATTTGTTGGATAGTTGAACTGCAAATAAGTAAACAGTGATACATCATCTTAGCCACACATTGGATTAGATAGCACAATATATGAACTGCCAGACAAAATATACTTTACCGGGGTATTTAAAAGAACATTTAAAAACAATCCAGCAACAAATAGCAGACCATAATGAAAATCTTATAAGCCATGCTCCAAGCTCAAGACCATGTGAACCCTTTCCGTATAACATGCTATATTCCAGATGATTAAAGATTAAACATATTTCATATGTACAAGTTGAAACCTCCTAAAATGAGTTTCAAAGGGCATCTTTGTGGAAGAAATTAAGTTTTTAACAGAACTGCTTTCTTTAATTAATTGATCACAAAGATGGATGGCAAGAGAAAAGGCTAAAACAGAAGAGACCTGTATTTGACATTAACTGAACAAAGATCTATATTACATTTAGGACAGTGTAAAGTCTGAAAATGGTACTGAGCTCATAGTAAAGTCTGAAAATGGTACTGAGCTCATAGTTCTAGAGAAATAATAAGTAAAATTACTACTATAGAGAGACAAGAATACAAATAATGTATATACATTTAAGAGTACCATAACATATCAAGTAGGGAATATTCTCTATCTGAATATGGAGCTAGACCGCAGGAAAAAATTGATCAGATTGTCATGAGGTATATATGCTTATGATCTACCAATGGCAAAAATGTGGTTGCTCTAACAGATATGATGTTGTGGATGCGAGGAAGTCAATTAATTTAAGTATTTAATTATATTTTTAAGTAGATTTATTTATTATTATTTTATAATTTAAGTAACTTTATTTATTATTCTAGAATGGAGTTTATGTTTCATAGTTTCATAATGATTAGGTTAAGTTATAGTTATTAGTTTGGAATAGGATTTAGGTCTCCTACTTCCCTAAGAAATAAACTTCCTATTGATGTAACAAGACTCTTATTTAAAGGGGCTTTTGATGAATAAAATCAGAAAGTAACTTTTCAGCAAAAAGCAAGAGATTAGAGTTCTCTCTTCCATTGAACTCTAAGGTTCCAGTCTCCCTTTGAAGAGCTGAATAGATCGGAGTTCCCTCTGTTAATTTCAGCCCCTCCTTTTAACGAGCTGATATATATACTGAATAGATCGGAGTTCCCCCTAAGACTTCAGCCTCCTTTTAACGAGCTGATATATATCTATCGACGATCCTTCCCTAAAGATTCATAACACATGACACCATGTTTTATATGGAAAGAATCTTCTGATTGATGATTCTAACACAATAGAAAGAAAACCAAAAATATAGGAGGGCACACTTGAATCCAATACTTTACGTAGCTTAATTATACCAACCACAGCATAACATCTTCGTACTCCGCAAACTTCTTTTCTTGTTCGCCTTCAAGTAATTCTTCCTCGCTATCACTGCAAATTAGAGCTTCTCCACTATTCTTGTCATAATAAATTCTTCTACAACCAACCACTGATTGATTCATGGGCATCTGCTGATTTCTGCACAAGTCAAAGTAGGATCAGAACAGTCAAAAATAACAAGAAACTATTCATCTTCAACAATCGCGAAGGCTATAGTCTAGTGATTTAAGTCATGATTCTCCCACACAATAAGGAAGAGAGGATACGTTTAAGGAGACAATAATCTTCAACAAGAATGATGAAATTTTGGAGTGTTACAAGTTTTAGAATCCTGATTTACAATGTTACAGGAAACTTAAAATTAAAAAACCACCAAAAACAAGAAGACTTCCACTCTCGTTGAAAAGAAACTATAGAAGGAGAGAAGGATGTCAATGCCATTTAAATGGTTTCCTCCTCAGCGGGAATAACTTTGAATTTGTCATCCTTGTTCAACTGACATCCCTTCCGAGAAGGGCATAAAATGAAATCCCATAGTGCAAAACAAAACATTTCTAAGGCCTAGAGGATCAATAATTATACAGAGGTGCAGAAGCAGATGATATTAAATTCCGATGATGAAAAACACAAGACGCTAAGATCAAAGCCACTGTAAAGGGTGAGCACAGGTGATTCAAAATTGCACTAAATACATCCCTTGTATGATCAGATGCAACAGTTAACACCGAAAAAAATACCAAGTAAAGAAAATAATTGTAAATTAAAGATTATCAAGAAATATATGGTTAGACATTCATAAGGTTCAAAAGCATGCCATACTGGAAGTGATGAAAGAACATCAAATTTCATATAAGGAAAAGTAGAGGCACAAATCAAACTTTAAGACCGCATGATTTGTGGATCAAGGTACCTTAACATACCTATCCAAAAATACCCATGTAGTATATTGAGGCAGTCTTTCCACTTGAGGAAGTATAATGGGACATACAGCACTTTTGATGGCAATGCTAGATCCTAGACGAATTTCAGAAGAGGCATATCCATCATCTTCAGAACTATTGCTATCATTATCTCCATTGCTAGAACCAATCCCAGTTTGCATATTAATTACATCCTGCTGTCTCTTAGACAGAAGATCAATGCTACTATCTGCACCATGAACTGTATGATTTTTTCTCTCTGTTGACAACTTCAAAAACAATTCCCCCAAATCATACGCCTTTTGTGCATTCTCTTCTGTCCTTTTCTGGAAGTAGACAAAACAGTTCCTTGGTTGTTCAAACCTTGTAAAAGCACCTCAATCGAAATACATAATAAAACATTGGGGAAAAGTGGGAGAAAACTAACAATTCATAAAACACACCTTTACATAATCAGCACGTTTAGAAGCAAATTGTTGCTTCAAAGATTCGGTTACTGATAAGAATTCATCAGCTTCTATGGTTGTTCCTTCAGCTGCACCAATCTGTTCAAAGAAGTATAGCATTGGATGACATAACAAGTCACAGAAGGAAAAATAACTATATAACTAAGGTAAAAAGAAAATGGCAAACATGGAGAATAAGATTGACAAATAGTTTTCCAAACCTCAAAGTCAAAAGTGCAAGCCACCAGGTCAATGCAGTGAGCAGAAAGGAATTGAGAAAAGGAAAATAATTATGAGAAAGACATTGGTGGGACAGAAATATGGCTCCAGGCATCAATTGTCAATAGACGTGGTAATAAAATGGAACCCCAAAACCAAGAGAGTATGAATATACACACACCAAACTGCCAACACTGTCATTTTTTAGTGCTGGTGTCCTGCGCACCTCAACTATTGCAACACCATCATTGTGACAACCCAATTGCCGGTGTGGTTTTTGTTTTTTGTTTTTTTGTTTTTTGAGAAGGTTACATCTAAATTGCTAGTATTTTCTAAAGCGAAAAAGCAAAAAAAAAAAAAAATCATGGGCCTTGAAGCGAAAATCGAGAAATGAAGTGCACTATTTCTTTTAGGCGAAGCGCACAATTCAAGTATTAATAAGTATCAAACACATATGGACTACTAAAATAACTAATTATCGAATCAAATTACAATAATGCTGGTACTAATCAATCTCCTGATCCCTTCTAGTTGTGATCACTGATCTCCTGATCACTTCTAGTTGTGATCACTTTGCACGTCATTTTCTGAAGCTTACACCTTGTTTTTTTCTTTTTTAGATAATGATGATGAATTGTACTAGAAAGAAAGAATCAGCACTAACCAAGTGCAAGAAGTGAAGTTACAAACTATGCAATTCACCAATCATGTCTGAACTCTTAAGCTTACACTTTGTTGAAGTTCATGACTTCAACTATGAAGCAATGGTCAAGAGTATTAAACAATATACCTGGAGGAAAGATTCACTCCGGTATAAATAAGTCCAGTCAACAAATGGGATAGGCCACCATACTACATGATATCAAATGGAAATGAAAGACCAACCAGAGAGAGAACAAGAAGAAAATTGCACTAAATGATGCGAGTAAACCAAATTTCTTTTAGGGATATATTCAGTACATCGAAAATCCTAGGTTAACAAGCACAATTCTACTACCACTGCAGCGTGACTTACCAGATTATCCTGAAATGCAATTGGAATCAACTCAAAGCAGTCGGGTTAATCAAGATAAAAATCAACAATCTTATTCATAATTCAACTAAATTCCTAGGTTAACAAGCACAATCCCACTACCACTGCAGTGTGACTTACCAGATTATCCTACAATGCAATTGGAATCAACTCAAAGCAGTCGGGTTTAATCAAGATAAAGAATCAACAATCTTATTCATAATTCAATTAAAATCTAGGTTAACAAGCACAATCCTACTACCACTGCAGCGTGACTTCCTGCAATGCAATTAGAATCAACTCAAAGCAGCAATGCAATTAGAATCAACACAACGCAGTCGGATTAATCAAGATAAAGAATCAACAATCTTATTCATAATTCAACTAAATTCCTATGTTAACAAGCACAATGATAATAATACCACTGCAGCGTGACCTACCAGATTATTCTACAATGCAATTGGAATCAACTCAGAACAGTCCAATTAATCAAAACAAAGAATCAACAATCTTATTCATAATTCAACTAAAATCAATTGAAAAAAAAAACAGTTAACACATAATGGGAATAAGAACTTTACTGGAAGATCAATGGTAAGTTGACCAATGCGAATTGAAGAAGTGCCCGCCATTCCAATTGGCGTGAAGGAGATGGGAGTCCTACACGACCCCGAGAGAGTGAGAGGAATCGATTAAGAGAAGAAGAAATTATTTTCCGGCCGCCGTTGAAATCCTAGGGTTTTGGTTGTTAAGGCATCCCTTTTATTTTTTTTCTTCGGAGTGGCATTGTCCAGAATTTATTTTCTTTTCCTAAAAATGCTTCTACTACTACATTCTCGTTTGGTGCGGAGATAAGGGCAGCACCACCGCTGCGGCTTACTAAATTTTGGGCGAATCTGCTTCTACCTATAGGCATATTCTTTTTGTACTTTAGCCACGTGTCAACTTTTGGACTGCAATCGATTTTCACCATTATATTAAAAGGAACCATATATAATATATCTTCTTACATTTATTTGGCGGGAATACATGGTGGATTGGAAATTTTATTTTACAAAAAAAAATGATTTTTTTTTCTTTTTAATTTGCTTTAAAAAAATGATCTTTATTTTTTTTATAACATTTTAGTTTTAATTTTTCACGTGACATGTTTAAAATCACAAGATTAAAATATATTTGTATATATTTTATCTAACTTTAATTTAGAATCATAAAATTTTTAAAAAAAATTATATTCTTAAATTTCGTGATAAGTCAAACTTTATCATTTAAGGCGTGAGAGGTAGAGAGCGCAAGACTTGCATACTTGTATTTTAACCATGACATGATCTTATAGAATTGGCAATGAATGTCAAAAAATAGGCTAGAAGATTATTAGGCAATTAATGTTATCTAGAATTTTCATCAAATAAACTTTTTTATGGATATCAATGTCAATAGTAGTGGGTGGATTAAATTAAATTAGTCAATAAGTTCTTGACATTCGTCTAAATTTATGTGATATAATTAAAATTTTAAGAATCAATTAAATTTTCTTTTATAGAAATTGTTTGTCTTATAAAATTGATTTGTTAATCATTGTCAAACATTTTATTTCAAAAAGATTATGTTCGAATTCAACTCCAAACTTTGAATTTTTCAAATTCTTAACATTCATATAAACGCATTCTTAATTTAAATCTACAAAATTCTAAAAATCTCACTTACTTCTAAAAACTTTGATAGATAATTAAACTAAGCAATATAAAACTAGTATTATAGTATGTTCCTTTTAATTCTAAAAAAATGATTTAAAATAGTATATCATTAAATTAATTTATTAATGTTGAATGTAACTAATCTACACTATATGAGCTAATCTTCTATGGTGGATCACAGATACATTTAGAGAGAAAAAAAAGAAGGAGAGTTCTTTTTTATGTGAAAGCTTAAAGAAAGAAAATACAATATATCGGTGACTTCTTTTTTCTATTTTTTTTATACTAACTTACTAACAACTTTCTTTTAATTCCTAACTAACTTTATACACATCATTAAGTAATTCCTATCTCATTATTACCCCTCAAGCTTGTGGGTGCAAAGACATTCAACACACCAAGCTTGCTTATCAAATATTCATGTTGAGCTCTAGGTAATCATTTTGTCAATATGTCTGACAATTGCTCCTTAGAACTTATATATTATGTTCTGATCAGTCATGATTGTATTTTTTGTCTGATAAAATGGCAATTGATCTCTGTGTGCTTGGTTCTTTTGTGAAACGCTGGATTGGCTGTTATTTGCAAAGCTGCCTTACTGTCGCTGTATACTATAGCTGGTTGTTCAACTTCATTTCCCAATTCCTTTAACAAAGAATCAATCTATACTAGTTCTGAAATTGCATTAGTCATACTCTTGTATTCAGCTTTAGCTGAACTCCTGGAAACAACATTTTGCTTCTTAGATTTCCATGACAATAATGTTTCACCATGTTTAGCTAGAAAACCTGACACTAATCTCCTTGTATTTGGGCAAGCTGCCCAATCTGCATCACAGTACACATTCAATTTATTGACCCTTTTGCTGCTCAATAGTATTCCAAGTCCTGGCTCCCTCTTGATGTATTTCATTACTCTCACAGCTACTTCCCAGTGTGATCTCTTGGGTTGGTGTAAAAATTGACTAAATGTCTGAATAGAGTAAAATATGTCTAGCCTTGTCATAGTCAAATATAACATCTTCCCTATCAACCTTTGATATTGTTCCTTGTCTTTAGATAGCTCATCATCTAATTCTCCAGTTAGACAATCCAACTCTTGGATTGTTAGTTTAATGTTGGCTTCAAGAGGGGTCCAAGCTGGTTTAGCATTTCCTAAACCCAAATCTGAAATAATTTTCAAAGCATACTTCATTTGATTCATCAAAATGCCTTTTACTGATCTACTGAATTCCATTCCCCAAAAAAATTTCAACTCTCCAAGATCCTTAATCTTAAAAGCCTTGTGTAAAATGGCTTTTGTGTGCTCTATAAGTCTTAAATTACTACCTGTCACTAACATATCATCTACATAGACAAGAATCACTACCATGTCTGATCCTTTCCTTTTAATGAATAAGGAATGATCTAGGCTACTTTGAACAAAATCAGATTCCAGTAATGCTTCACTCAACTTCAAGTTCCATTGCCTGCTTGCTTGTTTAAGACCATAGAGGGATTTGACAAGTTCGCATACTAAACCAGATTCCCCCTGAGTGTGAAAACCCTCTGGCAACTGCATATACACGTCATCATGAAGATCACCTTGTAAGAAAGCATTATAGATATCTAATTGATGAACAAACCAATTGTGTTGAGCAGCTAAAGATAAAACATACCTGACAGTAGCAATTTTAACCACTAGTGAGAAAGTCTCATGAAAATCAAGCCCCTCTTTTTGTGTGTAACCCTTTGCAACCAATCTAGCTTTAAACCTCTCAACATCACCATTAGCCTTCAACTTGACTTTATAAACTCACTTACAACTTATAGAAACTTTGCCTTTTGGTAGAGGAACTAAATCCCATGTATAATTATCTTGAAGAGCTTTTATTTCAAATTGCATAGCTTCTAGCCATCTGACATCTAAGATAGCTTCCTGATATATAGTTGGTTCAGTAATAGTAGAAAAAACATGTAAGTATTGTTGATAAGTTGGGGACAGATTGGTATATGAAATGGAAGCTGCAATAGGATAAAAAACATGATTTGTTGATGGCTTAGAAACATATTCAGATAGTCATAAAGGTTATTTAGTAAGCCTGGTGGATCTTCTGAGAGGCATAACATGACAAACAATAGGTGAATGTGGATGTGCCGGTTCTACTTCTGTACACAGTGGGGGTGATAAATCATGAGATGTTTCTAAATCATCAATTGGACATGGAGAAGAAATAGGACAGGATTTAGGTTCAGGTAAATGAGATTGAAAAGGAAATTGATCCTCATGAAATATCACATCTCTATTAAAAAAAAAACTTTTGCTTTTGTAAATCAAAATAAACATCCCTTTGTAACACTTGAGTAACCCATAAATACTGATCTCACAGCCCTGAGTACAAACTTATCAATTCTAGGCAATGTGCTTGCAAAACACAAACAACCAAATGTTCTTAAGTGTGTAATACATGGCATCTTCCCCAAAAAATGCTTCATAAAATGATTTTTCTTCAAGAGTTTGTGAAGGCAATCGATTGATAATGTATGCTGCAGTAAGAACACAATGTCCTCAGAATTTGATTGGAATATGACCTTGGAATCTTAAAACTGTAGCAACCTTAAGAAGATGTTTACGTTTCCTCTCAACAATACCATTCTGTTGAGGGGTATGGACACAAGTCTTTAATGAATAATTCCTAAACCTTTAAAAAAATCCTGCATAGAAGTACTGATGAATTCTCCTTCATTATCAGTCTTGACTTCTTTAACTGTCGCATTAAACTGAGTAGCAATCATCTTTAAAAAAATATTTAAGAATAACCAACACATCAGATTTGAGATTTAATAAGAATACCCATATTGTTCTCAAAAAATCATCAAGAATAGTGAAAAAGAACTTATTTTCATCAAATGTTGGAGTGTCATAAGGCCCCCGTACTCTAAATGTAACAAATCAAAAATCTTTGTAGATTTAGTGCTACTACTGTAGAAAGGAAGTCGAGTATTCTAGCTAGTGAACATATCTCATAAGTACTTAAAACTGATTTGCAACTGTCAACAGAATAGCCTAACAAATCCTTTATGGATCCTACTGATGCATGGGCTACTCTTCTATGTCAAAGCATGATATCCTGTTTGTTAGCATGAGCATCAAAGTTTTTAACATTGCCAGGTTTTGAAACTTTATGTTCTGATGAACTTGTTTGAACCAAAAAATAGAGACCATCATTTTCCTTACCAATTCCCTTCAGTTTCCCACTGGAAAGATCCTGGAACACACAAAATCCAGGATAAAATGATACAAAACAATTGAGCTTCTTAGTAACTTTGGCTACAGACAAGATTATATTTAAACTCGGGTACATATAGAACATCATGCAATTCTCCTATATCTGTGAAATTGCAATTACCCATATGAGTCACAAAAGTCACACCTCTATTGGGTAAATGAACCTTTCTATTTTGGTTAGGCCTAACAATTTGCACATTATGTAGTACGTCTAAGGTATAAACCATATGATTGATTGCACCACTATCAATTATCCAAGGCAAATCTGTAAGTTTAATGACATTAATGTGAGTCATACATGTCATATTGGCCATCACAATAGCTGTGGAAATATCTCAATCTAGCATATGTTGAATGTGATCATGTTGCTTATCAGTTAGAGGAGGTGCTCTAGGTAGATCTCTTACACCTGAATGCATTGAAGAAGAATTGTCAGTCTGAACATTATTAGCATTATAGGCAATGTTACCTGTCCCCTTCTTCTTGAAATTCCAATCTGGTGGATAACCATGAAGTCGAAAATAATTAGCCTCTACATGTCCTTGATTTTTGCAATAATCACATTTCAACTCTCAATTCTTCTTCCCTGTATAATATTGATTTGAGTTAGATTGTGAAGTAGTTCATTTATTGTAACAAGGAGGTCCTCCTCTTCCTGCCATGAGAACAGTTAAATCTGTACCTTCTTCACTCATAGATGTAGATATGATTGATCTTTGGCTCTCTCTCTCAACAAGCATAGCATAAACTTTGTTAATAGTGGGCGTAGGTTCAACCATCAATATCTGACTACGTGATTGTTCATAGGTTTCATTCAAATCCATCAAAAATTGCATCAATTTTTGTCTCTCCATATGCATAGACAGATCCTTAAAATTTGGACAATTACAGGGTGGAGGTGTGATACTAGCAAATTCATCCCAT